TCAATAAAACAAAAAAAGGAAAAAAATAAATAAATTAAAAAATTACATAAATCACAATATATTATATATTTTAAGATATTTGAAGGTATTAAGCTAGGCCCTGAAGGTACAGGTTCATCCTACTTGAGATGTTGAGGACTATGGGGGAATGGTAGGGGGTGCTCAGAAATCCACACATGGACTGTGAAGGCAGAGATACCTGTTAGACTTCCAATCACAGAGTTGAAGAAACAACTGGAAATGGGTTTCTAGGGTTCATGGGACAGATCTCGAGGGGGAAAGGAAGACCTGTATTGTGTCAAAGCCATGATTGAGATGATTAGAATATGCAGTGGATACAGCAAGACTTGGAACTGCATAGGCATTAAGGCAAAAATTGTGAGGAAGTCAGGGTCAAGTCCAGACAGTAAAAGTGTTAGGTAGTAACTATCAATGAGCAATGAAATGCATGCAAGGTCATAAATGTTCTTTAAATTACTTTAGGGTCTTCTTTGAACTAATTTCAAAGTGGCTGAGAAAGCAAAGCGTGGTAGTTGATTTGTAGAAAATAACAGAAGCAAAAGAGCAAATGAAAAAACACATCAAAATAAAAGGATTAATGGAACTAATTCTTGGCAGGTTGGTGTGAAGCTAGGAATTATGGCCACAGTTGTTTCCATCTGGGAAGGAAGATTCCTCTAGTAGCACAGGCACACTAAGGTAACTTCTGACCAGCTACTGACCCCAATGCCCACATTAACATGGGATTGACTTGTAGATGAAGTCCCCTAAAATAAGATGGCCACTATGGCAGTGCCAGAGAGACCCAACTAAGGTCAAAAACTCCATTGCCTGACATAAAGGAGGAGTTGAACATCTGATTGGCAAAGAATACAGAAGGTGGTCCCCAGTTCTTCTGGTAAACATGAAACAGTAATCAATTTGGAGACAGCATTGTCTCCTTTGTTTTTCTCTGCTTGGAGATGGCCCACTTTCTCTCTCTGCTTAAGCTTCACTTTGCTTTTACTTTACTTTCACTTATAATAAAGTTCCATTGGTGTCTGACTTTATTTTTAAAAATTTTGTTTTGTTTTATTTTATTTTTATGTGTTGCTGAAGATTGAACCCAGCGCCCTACATGTGCTAGGTGAGCACTCTACCTCTGACACACAACCCTAGGCCCGGCGTCTGACTTTAAATTTTCTTTCATCAGAACTCAAGAACTGAGGTTTGACAGGTTAGCACTTTCCTGTGACAAGAGCACTAAAAGGATCCACCAGTAAGGCCAGCTTCTTAGCTGACAAAAGGGCTCATGGACATGAGCAAGGGTCACAATCAGGTACATTTCCATAATTGTGGACCTAAATGGGGGATTCAACAGGACTAAAATAGACACATGAACACAGAGGATACCAATGAGCAATAAAATACCAATGAGAATGGAAAGCATGGAGAGGGGAGAAGAGAGAAAAAATAGGAAGGCCCAAAACCCTTGAAAACAACAATTCAATACTTTCCCATCAGACTGTGGCACTGGAACCCATTCTCTTTTGCCAAATCTGTTACTTTGTTAATTTTGCTCTTGTTGCTTGCTTATTCTCTTTGTGTTTTGTTCTTCAATTCTTCACTGAATGGAGACAATGAAGCTGAGACCCCTAGACAGTAACAGATATAGACAGAGAAAAGTTTCAAGGCCAAACTTGGCAATGGTGAGGATACAGAAGACTCTTAAAGTTATACTCTGAGTTGAGCTGGATGTGGAATCTTAATTGAAAGAGGTCAGTAGAGAATTACAGATAAGAATCAAAGATAGGTTATAAACAAGTTCTTAGTGTGTAAATGTAATATAAATGGGGATATATCTGCTGAGAGAAATATAAATTATATAATATTTTATCTTATATAAATGGAGGAGTGAAAACCAAAGGAAGGCTTTATTTTGTGTATGTGTATAAATGCACACCACCACCCACCTGTGAACAATGACCAAAATAATTTTTTTGTGTTAAAACTTGATCATGCTGTGGAAGAAGGATACCAGACTCTTTTTAGACTGATTTATTGGAGCTGGCAAGTGCAGGGTCAGCAAAAGCCAGGAGCAGGGACACTCCCAATGAAGTCAACACCAAGTAAGGACACAAAACCAGAGACAGGAGTAGACAGGTTGAGCAAGATCTCTTCAAAGTGTTTTCACTACACTCACAATCAACAAACAGTATCTCATCCCTAGTCACCAAAATGCATATGTGTTTTTTTTTTTTTCCACTACTCACCAGTTCTGTGGCAGACTTTTCCCTTGGTGTCCAACTGTTTGACTCAATTCTCACCCATGATACCCCAAACCCCCTTGTTAGCATTCAATTAATCATCTAGCATTGCTCTGCCATCTGCCTGGACCTTGTTGTTTGTTTGTTTGTTTGTTTTTGGTACTGGGGATGGAACCTAGTTTCATTTAAACATAGCAACATCCCCAGCCTTTTAAGTTGCTGAAGCTGGCTGTGAACCTTTGATCCTCCTGCCTCAGTCTCCCAAGCTGCTGGAATTACAGATGTTTTCCACCAGCCCCAGCAGTGTCTTTTTTTTTTTTTTTTTTAATAACAAATACTCAAGCATAAGTAAATTGTTTCCCTCAGGGTTTTGACCCCTCTAGCAAATTAATAGGCTTGAACAGAAGGCCATAATTTATACCTGCTAAATGAGAAGTAGGTCCTACCTGGGATATAGGACTGGCATCTGAAGTAGGGAGAACACTGTGGAACAGAACCCCCAAACTGGCATCTGATGCCTTCTGTCTCCTGGGATTGACTGTCAGATCTAAAATTACAGAATGTTGTGTTGACATGTGACACAGAACTGCTTTGTTGATAGGGAGAAATTGCCACACGTTTAGGTGACAAGAGTTGAAGAATTCTGTGCTGAGTTGTATTCAGAGTGTGAGTAGGAAGAACACTTTGGCTGGCCCCTCCTGTCTCAGACGCTCCTGACACCACTCCATATATCAGGAAAAGGGAAGAAGATGACCCCAACTCCAGGAATCCAGTCACTGCCTTCTGGCTGAACAAAGAAGCTATTCTGCAATCCCAGTAATTTTAAAATACACAAACTTCATAGATAATAGTTTTGTAATTTTCTTCCTCATCTCTATGGTTAAAACCCACGAATTTTGAACTTGTTAGATTATTAAGAGGAACCAATATATCAGAACTTCATCATCCACATTCCATCGACTTCCACTCATCTTTCTTTTAATAAGGATGCAATACCTTTATTTCACTTATTTATTTTTATGTGGTGCTGAGGATCGAACCCAGGGTCTCGCACATGCGAGGTGAGCGCTCTACCGCTGAGCCACAACCCCAGCCCCCCCACTCATCTTTCTTCATTACATTTTTCCCCTCCCTCATGCTTTACTTGTGTCATTCTTATTTTTACTCCCCACCCAGGTTTCTGTTCCTCATTTTATTTCCCTTTCCTCTCCTTTAGTTTATCCACTTCTTTTCTCTATTCTCTCTCTTTTTAAATTTATTGTTTTTAGGTATACATGACAGTAGGGTGTATTTTGACATATTATACATACAGGCTGTACAACCCCCTACAATTTTGATCCCATTCCTGTGGTTGAACATGATGTGCAGTTACACTGGTCATGTATTCATATGAGTATAGGAAAGTTATCTGCCTATATCTACAGATTTTCCTATTCTCATCCCCCCTCGATACCTTCAGTCCCCTTTGTCTAATCCAATGGACTTCTATACTTCCCTTCCCTACCCTCCCTTCTTATGGGTTAGCAGCCACATTTCAGAAAGAACACTGGACCTTTGGTGTTTCAGGACTCGCTTATTTCACTTAGCATGATATTCTCCAGTTCCATCCATTTACCAGCAAATGCCAAAATTTCATTCTTCTTTATAGCTGAGTACTCTCCCATTGTGTATACATAGCCCATTTTCTTTATCCTGCCACTGGTTCTTCCCACTTTTGAAACTTGTTTCTCCTCTTGTCAGTCTTTTACCCTGGTCTTTCCACTGTCCAAAGTCTTCACATATTTCTGACTCTTTCTTCGCCCTTCCATATTTTCCCTGTGCCCTGACTGTTGCAGTCATCTGTCCCCATGCTCAGGACCCCTACTGCCCTAGGTTTTCTCTCTTAAGTGCTCCTCCCTGGGGTCTGTCCTTGTTCTGTCCTAGAGGAAGAACATTCCTTCTCTCCCAGCACTGCCTGAAGTCCTTCCCCCTCACTGTTCTTTTCCTTGGCTGCTCTCCTTCATCTTTCTGGAGACAAGAGATTCTACATTTTTCTATTTGCTTTTCTCTCACCTCCAACTTTCTGTCTTCTTTTTTCACTCTTGCTATCACAAATCCCTCACCATCCTCCACTTTCCGGTGTGTGTAAGGGTCTTTCTCTTTTCTCTTTATCCAGTTTCTCCCCATCTTTTTTTTTTTTTTCTTCCACGCACTCCCAGGGAAGGGGATGGAGAGAGAAGCCCACTTTGGGAGGAACATATTTTTCCCTGGAGTGAAACATGGGACCAGTCAAGGTCGCCACCCCAAAATGCAAGGGGAGACTGCAGAGGGATGATCTGCGAAGCCGACAACTGACCAAGGAGGACAGAGCCCAGGATGGGTGAGAACGCTCCTCTCAGGATGGATCTGCTGTGCTCCCTGCGGGGCCAAAGAGAGTGAGATGTGGGGAAGATCTGCACTGTGTGGAAGGGGACGCCACTGAGGACTGGAAGAGGATACCGTGAAAAGGGACGCGTCCACGTCCACGCAGCCCGAGGGCAGACATCAGGCAGGACCCGGGCAATCGTGCCACACGCTGACCTCTGGCTATGGGCAACCACGCAGCCAATCTACAGCGTCTACACAGAGAACTTCGGGCAGCACTGGGACCCTCTGGGCACGATCTGCTCCGGGGCCTGCTTGGCTGCGCGTGCAGCCGGGAGGAAGGAGGGAGTGGCCAGGGCGGGAGCAGGGGAGAGAGGCGGGGTCTGCGAGGGGCTGAGGCAGTGGGTGGGGCCAGGCGGAAAAATGTCACCTTAAACTGCATTTCCGGTCCTCACAGGAGGGCCTGAGCTCCGCCGCACCAGCACCGCTTCCCCGGTAGCCCTGCACTGGTGGGATTACCCCTTGGATCAGAGTTGGCGACCTTGCTACGTGGGACGCGCCCAACGTGGCCAGAGCCACTGCAGAATCCTGAGGCTGGCGGGAGGAAGTCGGCTGGGGGCGAGGCCGGCGAGACCGAGACCTCGGGTTGGAGCAGCAGCCTGGAAGAGACTTTGCGCGTTCTGTGAGCCACTGCATTAGTGGGGGAGCCTCTCATTTGACTTGAGCAATCAAAATATTCTGGATCTAGGGGTTTAAATTATTACAGTTGATTTCAGCCGTTCTTTTTAATTTTTAATGTGAATACTAGAAAATATAAAATTACACTTTTGTCTTACATTGTGTGTGTGTGTGTGTGTGTGTGTATCTCTGACCTCAGGGAATTGCTGACATGTTCAAAGCTCAAACTGCTTTCCTATAAGATCAGAGAGCAGAAAAATTGAATAAAAATTTAAATTGTCATCATTTCATTTCCATTCATGAATAATATACACAAATATGTATTCTCAAATGGATATGACCTTATATCCAGTGAAATATGTAAATGCGCCACTGTCTGGGCTACATCCCACTATTGGGAGGAAACTGCCTTAAAATAACTCCATCCCAGGCACTGTGTGCAATTCACAGCAACTCAAAAGAAAAAAGAATTCCAGGGGCAGTGGTGCATGCTTGTAATATCAGTTACTTGAGAAGCCATCACAGGAGAATTTGAGATCCTGTCCAAAATTTAAAGTGTGTGTGTGTGTGTGTGTTAGCACAAATGATGCACATATGAGGAAGATGGGAGATGGGAAACAAACCCGGGATCAGCGGACTTTTCTTTTTTAGGTATTCAGAGGTGGAGTCAATTGGTGGAACCCTGGCATGGCTTATGTGGGGAGGCAGAAAATGGCAAGGGTCTAAAGCCAGTGTCTGAGTTTTAGATGCTTCCTTTAGGGTGGGACAAGAGGTCAATTCCTGGAGTGTATTGGGGTCCCCCTTATTAATTAGGGTGGTTCAGGAATGTGAATAGGGCATTTCTTGGAGCTTATTGTATTGGGGTCAGCTGACCCATTAGGGTGTGCTGGTGGGGTGTCAGGTGCCAGTTCCTTTTGTATTCCTTCACAGTGGCTAAGGCCTGGGATTTTAAATGAAAGAAACTTAGGGAAAATGTACTTGGACTTATTCTCCATCTCTCTCTCTATCTGTCTATCTATAGGGGTTCAATAGTAGAGTATCCATATGTCCACTTCCTAATCTTGCAACAACAACAAAAAGGACCAGCCAAGAACCTGTCATTCTGATTTCATTCATTCCTGGGTTGTGATACCCATGATAAGAATCTATCAGGGCCAAGATCCGTTTTCCCAGACGTGAGAATTGAACATCCCAGAAATCAAGGTAAGCGTGGAAAGCAAGTTTTATTTAAAGTATAGAACAGAGATAGACTACTCTGCAGAGGAGGGGTCCCAGAACTGGGTGTCAGAGGAAGTGGTGGTGTCCTGCCCCTTTTGTTCTCATGGCCTCTTCTCCCAGCATCCTGCTTACTAAGACCAATGACCAGAAAGTGGGCCAAAGGTGGAAAGATCCAGACAGGAAGCTAGTGGCCCGGAGGCATTAATTAACAACTCCAATAACTACCTGCAGAGAGGAACAATTCCCTGGTGGAAGGCCACCTTGGCAACAGGTAGAGGAGGGAAAAGTGCTCTGGAGGTTTTGGCATTTCATTTCCTCCTGAATCAGCCTCCATCTTTCTGACCCAATCATTTATTACCATATCGACTGCCTATTTGTGTCCCCTCCAGTTGGATGCAACCTACTGTCCCTCAGAAGTTAAGCTAACTAGGCTCAGTGGGGCCCAAAGCCCTGTCCAATCTGGCACTTGGGTGAAGACTCTCCAATTCATACACAGCCTATTGAAGTGGGGACTGGCTTCCACATTCTGATTAAGTCTTTGTGTCTGGATCCCTCCATTCTTTCAATTCTTTTCTAGACACCCTCCTCAATGCTCAGGAGACCCAGGATTCTGTGCTACACAAGTGAGCAACCTGAAAGCCAGGAAATGGTGAGTATTCATTCATTGGCATTTTGAGACTGGGCAGGGAGGCAGTTTGAAGCCAGCCCAACTGGCAATGACAGGAAGTAGAAATTGTGGCTGGGGATTCCTGGTGGTCCTATCCAGAATCTGACAGCCTGAGGGTTTCTCTGTGGCAGCTAAGCTCTCAGGCCTCTCTGAGCAGTCTAGTGGACTCAGGTCAGCATTTGAGATCCTGGGTGTCCTGTTCCATTATTGGATGGTACTTTTCAGCCCCTTCCTGAAGCCCTACGTGGGCTTCAATGTTCTAGTAGCTCAGCATCTCCCCAGATTTTGTGGAGAAGACTGGGATAACCACAGGGGAAAACCCAACTCCATGGGTTATGTTCTTGCATGAGAGAAGCTGTGCTTGGCCTGTTTTTATTTTGAGCTTTTGAACAACCTTAATATGTTTTTAAAAACATGTTTATTAAATTTATATTGTCACCAACATTTGTATATACTCATAGGCTCTCGAGTAGCTATTATCTTTCAGATTTTGGTTTGATTTGGTACTAGGAATTGAACCCAGGGGTACTTAATTACTGAGTCACATTCATAGCCCTTTCTATGTTTTATTTTGAGAGAGGGTCTTGCTAAGTTGCTTAGAGTCTCACTAAGTTGATGCAGCTGGCTTTAAACTCATGACTCTCCTGCCTCAGGCTCCCAAGCCACTGGGATTACAGACGTGCACCACCTCACCTGACTCTTTCAGATTTTTATAATAGATATTCTAACAGCACTGCCCAAGCTGTAGGAAATCTATTTGATTGGTGCATTAAATCCCTGATGCAAATTTATGTCAAGTAGCCAGTGGAGAAATGTTTTGTAAAGCTTTTCTGGGAATAATCAGGGCTCTGTGGTTTCTAACTCCTTTTTTGTACTACTGGTGGGGATCATAGTCCACAAAATTGTTGGCAAAACAATGTAAATTCATTTGTTTGCAACCTATGAAGATTTGCACATGCTCGGTCACCTTTGCTTCCAGAATTTGGAACTTCAGAATATAGTAACTTGAACAAAACAATGTTAAAGTTGAGACATTCGATGCATGAACAAACTCCTTCTAAAAGCAATTTGGTAGTCCTGGAGTTATTACTGGGGCAAGTTAGTGGTGAAGCAGAGCTCAGGACTGTTTGCTCGGGCTATTAGTGGTTTACTGTATTTTCCCCTGTTAAACCCACAATGCAAGCTAGAGAGAAGCTAATCTGCCAGCAACAGCAGTTGGCAAAATATGCTGGCAAATCTCTTTTAGAGATAAACTGACACCTTTGAGATTTGGCTATTTGTCTGCCTTGATCCCAGCCATTGAAGCACTTGGAAAGACTCTCAAGGCCATAAAAAAATCACAATATTTTCAGTGGTTCAGATACTTTTGTATCACTTCTCCCCCATTTCTCTTTATTGAGGTTGATGCCGGCTGTTGGGGATTTGGTTCCAAACATGGTACTTTGCTCAAGACAGGGTGAATGCCCAAGTGTACCCCAGATTTTCCTACTCATTGAAGATAGAAATTTTTAAAATTGCTTAAAGTATCTAAGTCTCTCAACTCATTTATGACTGTCAAAGAGGCACTCATAACATGAATAGCTTTTTATTATGTCTGGAATTTTAATATTCTGTTTTATTTTCAACATCATCCCCATTTAACATTTGCCTTTTCTTGTGATGCTAAGGTTTGAACCCAGTACCTTGAGACACTTGGTAAAGGAAAACTTTCCTTCCATAAAAATATTGGCAGTTCTGAAATTTTTACAGGAACAAGCTATAGATTGGAACTCATTAAGTGCTAAACACTCATAAAGACTCCAATTGGTACAATGTATTTTTCTCATTTTAACTCTGATGCAGGCTAGAGAGTAGCTCAACTGTCAGCAACATTAGTTGGCAGATTACCCTAGCAAATCTCTTCTAGGCAGAAGCCTAGTCCTTCAAGATTTAACTTTTTGCTCCTGATCCCAGGGATTGAAGCCCACAGTCGCACTTACTTGAACATAAAAAACCATCACTTTTTCTGTGTTCTTAGTACTTATGAATGTGTAGATCCTTCTTTAGCACTAGCTAAATTAAGATATAAACCACTGGAAAATTTAGAGTTAGGGTGTTATATATGTGGTGTTATATATCTTCCTCTTCTCAGGGTGACATTGACTGTTGGTGATTCTGTTCCAATTCTGAAGCATATTGCCTAAGGCTGGACTAAGACCCAAGCCTACCCCAGCTTTTCTTAATCATTTAGTGTCAGACCCTCCTATTCTTCTGTATTCCCAACATCGAACTCCCATAAGATATACCTTTTACTGTTGTGCTGGAATTTGATTTCAGTGCCTTCCATAATGTATAAACACATTACACCAGTGAACTGTGCCCCCAAAGTCCTTTACATTTGGCCATATCATCCATTTACATGTAATGTTATTCTTGATGTGTTTAGATTTATGTAGGCCTTTCAATTGCTATTAAATTTTTACATACATACATATTCCCCCTATGGGTTTTTGTTTGAATTATGATTCCTTATTATTTCAAAGTAACTTCTATGTCTCTTTTACATGATAGTGATGAGTTTTATCATGTACATAAGTGGTGTGTATAATTGAGTCTTTTATGTCCTTATGTATATTTTTTATTTTCTCAAATTCTATATATTTCTTTCTTAACATGTATGCCTGTAAAATATTACGTGTAATATATCACATGTATATGACATCTATATAAAGCTATGCAGAGTTTCACAATATTTGTCAAGGTGGATAACAGTTTGATAAAAATAGGTCCTGGAAACCATTTTCCCCCTTTTACTATGTATCTCTTCCCCAATGTCCATTGCCCCTTCTCCATGCCCTGGGTTTCATGTGCTTTGACCAATGCAGCTGTACCCTTCAGTGTTATCATGGTTCATATGTACAGTAATTTTTATAAGCATATGCTTCTGCTGGGCAATGATCATGTATTTTCTTTTAATATATTTTTTTAGTTGTAGTGGAACACAATACCTTTATTTATTTATTCATTTTTATGTGGTGCTGAGGATCGAACCCAGGGCCCCTGCACATGCTAGGCAGGTGCTCTACTGCTGAGCCACAACCCCAGCCCCAATGGTGTATTTTTAATAGCCAGTTTCTTTCAAGAAATAACAACTTTTACTCCCTCTTTAGTTCATAGTTTTTTGCTCCATATTTTTACTGATACTGTTTAATTTTGTCTCAGAGATGTGATTTTATTTCGTCTTTTTTTCTGATATCTAAAGATATTGAGCTATTTTATGATTTTTGAACATGATTATTGAAACATTATGTTTCTCCTTATAAAGTGGCTATTCAGCTCTCTTGCTGTGTTGTTGTCTTCTTCTTCTTCTTCTTCCTTTTTCTTCTCCTTCTCCTTCTCCTTCTCCTTCTTCTTCTTCTTCTTCTTCCTTTCTTACCAGGATTGAACTCAGGGACACTCAACCACTGAGCCACATCACACCCTGTTTTGTATTTTATTTAGAGATAGGGTCTCACTGAGTTTCTTAGTACCTCAGTTTCGTTGAGGCTGGCTTTGAACTCACAATCCTCCTGTCTTAGCCTCCCCAGCCACTGGGATTACAGGTGTGCACCACCATGCCCAGCTCCTTTCTTTCTTTTAAAAGTGTTTTGTTATATGTGAAGTGATTAGTTTCTCCCAGTCTTTCACTTCAGTTTTTACCCTTTAATGGTATCATATCATAAGTACACATTTTATTTTAATATTTTCCAGTTTGGGAATCAAAAGATATTATTTTCTTTAACTTCGGAAACAAATAACTGTCTTTCTTTCTGTATTTTCATTGTTATTATTATTTTTTTATTTAGGAGATTGAAGGCAGGTATGTCATGGTGCTCAACCACATTCACAGTTCTTTCTAAAGTTTATTTTGAATAAGCATCTCACTAAGTTGCTCAGGCTGACCTTGATCTTGCAATTCTTCTATTTTTTCCTTCTAAGTAGCTGGTATTACAGTCATCCACCAGTATATCAACTGTATAAATCCCTGTCTTATAATAACTTTGGTATATTTTATATTTTTCTTTTATATTAAAGTATTTCTTACTAGTAAAAATGATTTCTTAAGTCATATTAGGAAAGGATGCAATGGCACTTTTGTCACACAGATACCCCATTTTCCCATCAGCTTTCTTTGAAAAGGATGTCATTTTTCTCCTTTACTACAGTACAGTTTCTATCTTTTATTATGATCTAAATTGCCAGCATCTTCTTAAGGATTCTTTCTTTAGTTCCACAGGGATAATTATTCATCTCATTATGAGGTCATACTCATTGCTATAATGTTATATCCTATATTCATATGTGGCATAATGTGTTTATCAATGGAATTTCACATACACTGATGTCTACAATATAACTTAGGTATGTAGTGGTCTATACCAAGTTGGACTGTGTCAATACCCTGTATCATTTGCAAAATGACAGAATCACCTTATGATGCATTATCCAGAATGTATCCCCATCATTAAGTGAGGCATCATTATATATAAGCATAATTGTTACGATTATATAATATATAAATAATATGCAGTTTTTATTTGTGAAATTTACCAAAACTCTTTCAATTTACTTGTGTTCTAAATGCAACATCTGACATTACTGACACTTTTTAATATCTTTAAATTTTGCTCATTTGCTTAGCATTTTTCTTTACTCTTTTTTTTTTTTTAAATAAAAATTGCTTTTTTCGCCAGGAACAGTGGCACATGCCTATAATCCCAGTGGCTTGAGAGGCTGAGGCAGGAGGATTGTGAGTTCAAAGCTAGCCTCAGCAAAAGCGAGGTTCTAAGCAACTCAGTGAGACCCTGTCTCTAAATAAAATACAAAATAGGGCTGGGGATGTACCTCAGTGGTCGAGTGCCCCTAAGTTTAATTCCGGGTACCCACCCCACAAAAATTGCCTTTTTGAAAATATCAAAACTGATAGTTAGCTAACGAATTCTCAGTTTCTTTTTAAATTTATC